CATTGGTGTATTATTGGTGCAATGCTGCTCTCTGGACAGGGTGTGACTATTTGGCTTTCAATGTGATGGTGTGATCTGGAATTGTCATCTCGCTGTTGCTTATTTTCCTTGCAATTTGGTATCGGAGCTGGTTCATATTGCGCTTCATTGGTTCTTCGCAAGAGCTATTGGTGCTTCGCATGGGGTGTGGGGCAGTGATACGGCATTGGCGTTGAACATTAGGCGGCCCAGGGTTGTGTGGGCGCGCCAGGGAGCTATGTGGTGACATACGGGATGTATGCTGGATGATGAGAACTCGCTGATGTGGCATATTAAGCCAAGGTGGAACCGCATTCTGCTGTTGGTTGTGCTGAGGCAAAGACCGGTCATCATAATTGCACATCAGGTTACCGGTGAGAAATCTGTGGTTGGGGGCAGCATTTATGAGGTACGTTGCTCTCATCCTTATCTACCCTCTTCATCTCTTCTTACCGTGAGGAAGTGAGTTCTGTCTTGAGAGTCCTCTCGATGTGAGGTGTCGCGAGCGCTCAACCTTGAGAGTCGACACTCTTCCTGGGCAACAAGCTGGTGGGAGACGGGCGAAGCCTCTGAAGGGCCCTGGACGAAGCACTCGGGTCACGGTCACCGTGCCAACCCGCTGGGACTAGTACACGCATGCTTGGGCAGCAAGTCCTTGGTACCGCTGCTTGCACAATAGAGGTCGTGCAGGGCATGCCAGCCTTTTATGAGACGCCTACCAGACCGTCTATAAATATTTCTGGCTACGGACTCGGTGTTGATTCTAGTTGTGATCGTCGTCCTGTCTGCGACGTTAAATAATTCTTGAGGAGACGGGGGCTCTCCTTAAATCCCTCCTGATCAGCCAGATCAAACCGGGTGGTAAGGCTCCTTCCGTACGAGGATAAATAAGAGTGGACTGGCTGGCATGTTCGACAATGACTTGGGGCACAGGGGTGGGCCGGACTGCACACCTTCAGACACGCTGCTCAACCAGATGCTCAGGAACGTTGACACAAAGAGACCACTCAAGAAGGATACAGGGGGAGGGGGGATTCCGGTAACTGTTCACAGTGGCAATCAACTCTCAATCTGCCATCCAGTATACATCTCCAACAGGAGATGTTATTTTTATTTTTGATTATCAAGTTGTTACAGACTTGACTAACAACTGACAGGCAGCTACAGACAGATTAGATCTTTGTTGTATTGCAATCTGTTTTAGGGTAATCTAATAATAGATTTAATATATCCTGTAGGACCTGACGTTAGTTGTTACTATATCACCTAACTGTTTCTGTTCCAACCGACCGAAAGTAGTTGTGGTTCATAATCGGTTGTGTGTCAGGCCAAGGTAGGATTCAGTGTGGATTCTAGTTTAGATCGCACACACTGTAGCTCATGAGTGGTGCAAGCACTAGTGAGGAGGAGTTACTAGTGGACGACCGTAGGACTACTCGTGGTACTGCCCGCAGTCGACCCTTGACATTCTTGGAGTTGCCGTTAGACCTGAGGACCAGCACAAAACCGCATTTCAGACCAGGTACGGTTTGCACGAGTTTGTGGTGATGCCTTTTGGCCTATGCAATGCGCCTGGTACATTTCAGCACGCGATGAACCAGATATTTCATGAGTACTCGGACAAGTTTATCGTCGTGTACCTCGACAATATTCTTATCTTTAGTAGGACTGTAGAGGAGCACGCTGAGACTTGAAAATAGTGCTAGGTCTCCTAAGACAGCACCAGTACACGGTAAACTTGGATAAATGTGAGTTTGGTCGCACCAAGATCTTGTACTTGGGTCATGAAATTTCAGCAGATGGATTGAGGCTGGAAGATTGCAAAGTGGCCAGCATACGTGACTGGCCTAGGCCTCAGACTGTTACTGAGGTCAGATCGTTTCTGGGGATGACGGGCTATTACCGTCCGTTTGTGAAGAATTATAGTACTATAGCCTCCCCATTAACAGATCTAACTCGACTTGACACCCCTTGGGAGTGGACTGAAGATTGTGAAGCAAGCTTCAAGAAATTGAAGTATGCACTGACACACTATGAAGTTCTCAAACTTCCAAATCCTGATAAGCCGTTTGTTGTGACCACAGACGCCTGCCAATATGGCATAGGCGCGGTCCTTGCGCAACAGGAGGGGCCAAAGTTGAGACCGATCGAGTACATGAGTAAAAAGATGCCTTCTCAAAAGATAGCTAAGTCCACTTATGAGAGAGAGCTCTACGCCCTGTACAGAGCGCTAGTTCATTGGAGACATTACCTCCTAGGAAGATTCTTCTATGTGAGGTCTGACCATGAGACTTTGCGCTGGATTAAGACACAGCCTGTGTTGTCGGACGCACTCAAGAGATGGATTCAAGTGATAGACATGTATGACTATCAACTTGATCCTATCAAGGTTACGTACAACAAGGTGGCTGATGCGCTATCAAGAAGGGCAGATTATCTGGGCGCGCTAGTCACTGAGTTTGGCATATCTAACGAACTCACTCGATCGCTGGTGGAAGCCTATCACGGAGACCCAGTCATGTCAGAAATCATCCGTAGATTCCAAGCAAATGACAAGAAGACTTTGGATGAATTTTGGTAAATGGCTTGCTGTTCCTTGATAAGGCAGGGAATAAAAGATTGTGTGTCCCGTGTAGTGAGTCTTTACGTAGTTTATTTTTAGGCGAGTGTCATGATGCAACCTGGTCATTTTGGATATAAAAAGACCTCAGCTAACCTAGTACATAAATTTTGGTGGCCCTCTATGATGGAAGATACCAAAAGGTATGTTCAGACTTGCCAGGTCTGTCAAAGGGACAAACCTAGGACTCAGGCTCCGCTTGGGCTCATCAAGCCCTTGCCGATTCCTGAAGGTCCTGGTCAAAGTGTGTCCATGGACTTCATGGATACTCTTGTGACCAGTAAATCTGGAAAGAGGCATATTTTTGCGATAGTGGACCGCTTTACTAAATATGCAAGACTGATCGCTATGCCAGAAACTGCGAAAACTGACTATGTCATCAAATTGTTTCTGGATCACTGGGTTAGGGATTTTGGACTACCCACATCAATAGTAAGTGATAGGGATGTAAGGTTTACCAGTGAACTGTGGCAGTCAACTGCTGAACAAATGGGAACCAAGCTCCAAATGACTTCAGGTAATCACCTTGAGTCAAATGGTCAGGCAGAACAGATGAACCGGGTAGTACAACACTTACTTCGACATTATATTAAGCCAAGTCAGGATGACTGGGACGAGCAGTTACCTCTCGTCGCCAGCCTGTACAATAACGTTGTGCATAGTACTACCGGTATGACTCCCAACCAGCTACATCTTGGTTGGAAACCCAAAACTACGCTGGACTTTCTGCTACCGGAAAGGCAACCCACTGCAGCTCCTGGCAGCATAGAGTATGCCATCAAGTATGAACAGATGCTGCAGAAGGCAATGGAACATATTAAGAAGTCTCAAGATGCTATGATTGCATCTGAGAACAAACATAGACGGCCTTCTAACTTTGAGGTAGGCGAGAGAGTCTGGGTGAGGTCATCTGAACTGGGTCAGGAGTTAGGGATCTCAAGAAAACTGATGCCACATTACTTTGGGCCCTGGGAGATCTTGGACATTGTAGGGGATCAACCAGATGGGCCTTCGTACGTGATCCGTATTCCTGCACACCTACGCACTTACCCTGTGTACCATGCTTCCAAGTTGGCACCTTTCACTGCTACAGAGCAGTTCCCTTCAAGAAGATCAATGTTGCCCCCAACCATGGATGGCGAGGTGGACATCGACCAGATCGTGGAGCACCGAGTGATGCCTGTCCCTCGATCATCAGGTAGAGGGCGCCCTCCTAAACCGAGAATGCAGTATCGGGTGAGCTTCAGATATCACCTTGATCCCAAGGAAGATCGCTGGTTCACACGAGAGGAACTCATGAGAACAGCACCTCAAGTGATTGCAGGCTATGAAAGACAATGAAAAGGGAAGATGCCTGCAGAATAAGAGACTTCTCAGAGGACTAACGAAGTAAAGGAGGAGGGAATGCGAGGATCAGGGACCTCGGTAGGCCTAAGGGGCCCTGTTTGCAGCATTGCCCGCCCTAAGTGAAGGCGGGCCTGATATATCGCAAGAGGCCCTCGANAGGGGCCCTGTTTGCAGCATTGCCCGCCCTAAGTGAAGGCGGGCCTGATATATCGCAAGAGGCCCTCGACTGTCAATCTCATATTTGGGGTCCAGCAAAGTTCGCAACCAGGATTTTTAGGAATACCTGTAACTAAACTAACCACACACTTTTCGAAAACCAACCAACCATGACCACTGTATACCTGGCTTACCGCACCTTTACCTACCTCCAACTGATCCGAAAAAAAAAACCGGGTACCTGTACCCGCCCATACCTGAACCACTGCAGACCGTAATTGCCCGTACCCGCCCTTGTTTTTTTTGTTTTTTTTTAACCAACCATGGCTAACTGAACCCAAACCGTGTCTTAACCATCCGTACCATACCCAACCGAAATTTTCCTTACTCGTGTTCAGCCGTACCCGTCCCCACCTACCCACAATTGTATGCACCTACTCGTAACCGCCCGCACCTGTTACCCACCCTCCCCTAACTGCCCCTAACTGCTCCTAACTGTTCTAACCGCCCCTAAAAACCCCCAACCGACTCCCTCACAACCTTTGGGATGTGGTCGGGGTCCAGCAGTAATAGTTACTGCAGCTGTTGTCGCAACTGCAGCGATAGTCAGATGTGGTGCAGCAGCAGATGCAACCCCTCCAGCAACTGCGGAAATGATGTCAATGGAACAACTGCAGCAGATGTGGTGCATTTGTGGTGCATCTGCAGATTTGCTGCTGCAGATGTGGTGCATCTGCAGCCGCAGCAGCATATGCAACCCCTGCAGCAACTGCGGAAATGATGTCAATGCAACTACTGCAGCAGCATATGCAACCCTTGCAGCAACTGCAAAAAAAAACAAAAAAGGGGCCTACGACTTCAGATGGTGGGAAAGGGCGGGGGGCGAAGGGCTGGGAGGGGGGCAGGTGGGAATACAAGGGGTAGTTAACCACGGTTACCCGAGTGGATCCTCTACCCGCCCGTACCCGCCCCCCATTTTTTTTGTCTGCCCCTCGTACCTGTCCGTACCGGTTTTAATTTTATGTTTGGCTGCCCCTACCTACCCGTGATCTTCATAAATACTAACTGTGCCTACCCATCATCTCCAGAAAAAACAAATTTGCCTGCCCATAACCAACCCCCCCTTCGGAAAGGGGCACCAGACCTACCCATGACCTGGCGGTTACAGTTGGGTGCGGTCGGGTACGGGTAACGGTTACCCATTTGCGCTCTCTGGGGTCCAGGTAGTTGCGACGCGCCAGTTGGTTGAAAGAAACTCAGGCCGGGCCACACAGATATTTCCCAGG